CGTCGTTGGCTCCATTGTTTTGATCGTCGTTGGTGCCATTGTTGTGATCGTGATTGGTGCCTTCGTGGTGATCGTCGTTGGCTCCATTGTTGTGATCGTCGTTGGTGCCATTGTTGTGATCGTGATTGGTGCCTTCGTGGTGATCGTCGTTGGCTCCATTGTTGTGATCGTCGTTGGCGCCTTCGTGGTGATCGTCGTTGGCTCCATTGTTGTGATCGTGGTTGGCGCCTTCGTGGTGATCGTGGTTGGCTCCATTGTTGTGATCGTCGTTGGCGCCTTCGTGGTGATCGTGGTTGGCTCCATTGTTGTGATCGTCGTTGGCGCCTTCGTGGTGATCGTCGTTGGCGCCTTCGTGGTGATCGTCGTTGGCTCCATTGTTGTGATCGTGGTTGGCGCCTTCGTGGTGATCGTGGTTGGCTCCATTGTTGTGATCGTCGTTGGCGCCTTCGTGGTGATCGTGGTTGGCTCCATTGTTGTGATCGTCGTTGGCGCCTTCGTGGTGATCGTGGTTGGCTCCATTGTTGTGATCGTCGTTGGCGCCTTCGTGGTGATCGTCGTTGGCGCCTTCGTGGTGATCGTCGTTGGCTCCATTGTTGTGATCGTGGTTGGCGCCTTCGTGGTGATCGTGGTTGGCTCCATTGTTGTGATCGTCGTTGGCGCCTTCGTGGTGATCGTGGTTGGCTCCATTGTTGTGATCGTCGTTGGCGCCTTCGTGGTGATCGTGGTTGGCTCCATTGTTGTGATCGTCGTTGGCGCCTTCGTGGTGATCGTCGTTGGCTCCATTGTTGTGATCGTGGTTGGCGCCTTCGTGGTGATCGTCGTTGGCTCCATTGTTGTGATCGTGGTTGGCGCCTTCGTGGTGATCGTCGTTGGCTCCATTGTTTTGATCGTCGTTGGTGCCATTGTTGTGATCGTGATTGGTGCCTTCGTGGTGATCGTCGTTGGCTCCATTGTTTTGATCGTCGTTGGTGCCATTGTTGTGATCGTGATTGGTGCCTTCGTGGTGATCGTCGTTGGCTCCATTGTTGTGATCGTCGTTGGCGCCTTCGTGGTGATCGTCGTTGGCTCCATTGTTGTGATCGTGGTTGGCGCCTTCGTGGTGATCGTCGTTGGCTCCATTGTTGTGATCGTGATTGGTGCCTTCGTGGTGATCGTCGTTGGATCCATTGTTGTGATCGTCGTTGGCGACTTTGTTGTGATGGTTGTAGTTGGTGCTTTTGTGGTCGTTGTAGTTGGTGCTGGTGTGCTCGTTGTGGTTGTGTTCTTCTGTTTATTACCATTGGCTGTCACGCACACGGACGGGCAGCAGCACAGGGCAAACACCAACAGGGCGCACAGTAGTCGGTACGTCGTCATTATCGTAATTTTATTATTGATGGCTTGGCTGATGTCAATCCTTTTTTATTTTGCAGCAGAGCAGTAAGATGAATAAAAAAGAAGGATGCTTGTTGGCAGTGACACGCCTTTACAATTAAGTGTAAAGTGTGACCGTCACATTTACGTCAAGATGGAGCGACCTTCTGCAATGGACGTACATCTGCGGTTGTGCATCGCCAATGTATGATCACTCCTTTTCAAGCCGCTGCTTCTCAAAAAAAAAAAAAAAAAACGTGGTGTCTTTTTTGCTGCAAATTAAGAAATAAACTGCCTCTGTTGGATAAGG